TCAAGAATATGCTAAGAATTGAGTAAGAAATGCGACAGCATCATTTTGTATATCCTATGGGTCACCAAAAATTGCATTAAGAAATTAACTTACCATAGTAGGATACCCTGAATTACCACTGGCCAAATATTTTTGACTTTCTGACCTTTTCAAAAATTTTAAATTCATAGTCAAAAGTCTACAAAATTCATTTTAAAAACATCACAAAGGCTTCAAGATAAATCACAATGAACACATGGCATCATATGACAAATATTTCCTATAATCCCTCTCACATTAAATAATAATTAAATCCTTTCAAACACCTATTAACAAAAACAATTCACAGATGCTGACAAAATTAACAGAAATCTGCATGAAAATTAACACTTCCTATTATAAAATAATGTTACCAACAAATCAAAGGAACACCAATAAGGAATCCATTGTCGTCAGTATTGGCACAAGTTTTCTGAACACCTGGATCACCCAAACAGAAGATAAAATCACCCTTTGGCCTAGACCAGGGACTTGGCAAACTTTTGAGTCGGAAGAGTCAAAAATTACAATTTACAAAATTTTTAAAAAGCTACATTTTTTCTTGCCAACAATAAATAATACACCTATCCCCCGACGGTAGATACGTTCCTGAGAAAAACATGTAAATCGGGGGATAGGTGTACACAGAAATAAAATGCATTGACATGTTAAAATATGTAGTCAGCACATAAGCTCGGGATTCCTCCTGAGATGTGTACACAGCGCATGTGTTCAATCACAGTAGCATTTAGTATAGTGCAATAAAAACAAAAAAAAAAAACTTATTTGGAAAACCGTGTAAAAGCGAAAACATGTAAAAAAAAGTACCGTGTAAATCGGGGGGTAGGTGTACTCGCATAAATAATATTTGCGAATTTAACTATATAAAGATCCACATCCAAAGAGCTGCTGGTGGCTCACGAGCCTCAGTTTACCAACCCCTGGCCTAGACATATAGATGACATCATAAAAGAAGACTTGAGCATTTAAATTCCCTCCACACACACAATTCATTTTGACACTGAAAATAATAACCACTTCCTCAACTACAGGACACAATCACTTACAACCAAGTTCCCTTGAAATTTTCCCACAATTTCCTAATATTTACAATATGATTCTTATTTATAATATGATGCACTAGCGTGCCATCTGTAATCAAAATTCGAAATTATTTAAAGGCGTAAGATTCTTTTTGAAAATAAACAATTTCTACTGTCCTTACTGCAATGGAAAATTAATTATCCATTGCAGTAAGGGCAGTAGAAATTGTTTATTTTCAAAAAGAATCTTTTTTTCGCCTTTAAATAATTTCGAATTTTGATTCTTTTTACCTCATTACCCACAAAATTAATATAGTAAGAACTCTCTCACTAAAAGAGACTGCTCCCAATCTCCAGAACCAACAGTTACAAAAAAAAAAAGATGAATTAGTCCACAGCCATTACTATTAATGAAACATTCAGGATATCCTGATCCCTGTAAATGGCTGTAGACTAATTCCATCTCTTTTTTGTTTTTTATCCCCTTGTGTAAAGATTACACGAATTCCATGAGTTCATGCTCCTCGAGCCTCATGGAATGGGGTGTAGGGGTGCGGCTTTCGTTGATCATGGCACCATGATCCAGGCACACTTTGGTGAAAGTCTGACTTTGCCTGTAGTTTGAGGCCGTTCCTAACATGGAAGCAGACGCCTTTGCTGGCGACTCTAACATGAGTACAGACACAGCTCCTCTGTATCCCTGGAGTGGGACCCTTGCTGAGGTCTATCAACTGGGTCAGCTGAAGTCAGGATTTTTAAAGAGGTCTACTCCTCTTCTAACAATGCTGCTGTTGGTCTGTGACTGCTTATTCTTCAGTTATTCTCTTTTTTTATAGCAGTTGGTTCCGTAGAATGAGAGCAATCTCTTTTAGTGAGGCACGAAAAACAAAGCTTCCATCTGTTTCATACCATTCTCAGGCAATCAGCATTATATATTGAAACTGCACACGCATGGAATCAGGACTCACTTTAGACAGTCAATTAGAACTATAACCTGTAATCCCATTTCAAAATTTGAATAACAATGTCATCTTCTAGATATCCTGTAAATTGGCCATTGCCCCAACCTCACATCCATACAGGAAAACTGACCCTTTATTTCAGTTCAGACCTAAATAACAATTTAATAAAAAGGTCATTTTTCAATAGGAAAAAAAATAAATAAAAAGACCTGGACTAGCTTTGACAGTAATGACCCTAGAAGACAGCATAACTAGTTAATATAAACTTTAAACCAAGATGTAAATGGAGATAACAAGGGTTGGAGGGTAGGAAAAGTTTTATTGTTGAGTCTAAAAGAGCAAAGTGCTCATTCCGCCCATCTCGCTCTGTTCCTTCACGAAGATCTCAAAGTACTGGTAGATGATGGTGACAGCCAGCAAGATTCCAGTGCCACTGCCGATGGCTCCCAGGAAGTCCGCCAGAACAGACAGGGCTCCAATACAAAGTCCACCGAAGGCTGCCGCTGTAGGTATGTATCTGTTCAGCTCATGAATCATGGACTTCTCCCGGTGCCCACGCATCACCATCTGTTGCTCTTTAAGCTGCTTGGCCACCTGCCCCAACACAAACCTCCTTTAGAATAGTATAAAGAACAAAAATGTAAACCATCTGAGATAGAAAAAGCAAAATCACATCATACTTAGGCCTTTAACCCTTTCTGGTCTGTATGCGCCTTTGTTTATATAAGTTTAAAGATGATCCGCTAGCATACACACAACTTTCCTTAATTCCCCATATTATAAAATATAATGGGAAACATCATGTTTTACAAGTAGAAATATATTTATTAGTGCATAATATTAAAAAACAAAAATAATAGATATTTTAATTTATATTTCAATAAAGTATGTTATTTCCGGAAGCCATCCACCAAATGAAGAGCTGGTTTGTCACTGCAGGTTCACAATAAAACCTATCATTTTTCTATCCACCAGATGTGGATTGGGAAGGACAGACTTAACTCTTTGAGTCTGGATGTCAGTATTTTGGAACTGATTTTCCATCCTTTCCAAGCTTGATGAAGTGGAAGCTTTTATACGTTTTGGACATTCATTCTGCCACGGCTCCACAACTCTTCCACCAAATGTTTGTGATTTTTTTTTTAATGTCAGATCGGCCTTAGTCCATTTTTTTTCCTTCATGTTCTAGGTGTATATGATGTATGAGTTGACAGTAGCCACTTCTAGGCCCCAGAAAAATAATTTTCTCCACCATTTTAGTTTTTCTGAGAAAGTTGTATGTTGTAAAATAGTAGACAGCAACATCTACACCTCCCATATTTGAAGTCTATAATTGCACAGTTGGCTTCTGAACCACATCTAGTTTTCCTGGTGACTAGCTGTGTGGAATGAAGAGGCAAGATGGACCACACACTTGTCCTTCCAACAGATTGTGAATACGTTTTTCTTTCTGAAGGCAAGAGTTTGCCCCACCGAAAATAGTTTTTTTTTTTTTTTTTTCAGTTCATGTGGTATTCCTTTGGCGTTTGGCATTATGGTCCCAACTAGGTAACTCTGCATTCTATAAAATTCTTCAATATGGGTGGAATTTGTGTGGAATCTATCTGTAAAAATATGAAAACGTCTAGTTGTTCAAGGTGAGCTAGATTCTTTAATTCCTAAATTTTGGTAGCTTGGAATATCAGCTTTAGAATCTTAAAGAACACTTTCATTTGTTGAAGAATTATCCAAAAAAAAGGAGATTCAGAGCGAGTGGTGAAGTAAAACGTTTAAAAAAATTGCAAGCAAAATAAGTAACAAATTGATGCGAGAGGGAATGGAGGATGATTCAGCAAGATTCCCACATAACTTCCCGGAAATGTGACATCTGTGCCAGCCTCCCCCACCCCTGGTTTAAACATAGCCACTGACAGTGGCTTGCGGACGGGAAAGTGGAGTGAACCCAGGAGGAGTTCTGAACCTCAGAAATAGACATCACCAAGTACTAACAAGATTTAGAACAGGCCATCTCAAGTCATTGAAGATAGAAAATGATAGCAAAATCTACCCCATTTGCCCAAAATGTAGCTTGGCACCTGCAGCTCCAGAACACATTTTGGATTGAATTAGATGCACTAAACAGGATCTTTGGGAGAGACCGCTGCTTATCATAAAACAGCTCGAGGAGCATGAACTCATGGAATTTGTATAATCTTTACACAAGGGGATAAGAAACAACAACATGATATAGTATAGCAGTGGATTCACATTGCAGGTTGGGTTGGTGCAACCCAGAAGGTTCAACCATACACAAACTTACATCCTTGGCAGAGGAGCCTGAGACTTCGATCCATGTCTTGGAGAAGAAGGCGCAGGAGCCCAGCATGAAGCATATGTAAAGGAGGGCATGGAGGGGGTCCTCCACAATGTGAGCCAGGTTCTCAGGAGGAGAGAGGTAGTAGCAGAGTCCCCCTACAGGGTAGGCTCTGGCAGGACCCCCAGCTCCTCCCACATCCGCCCACACTCCCAGCAGGTTAACCAGGACATTGCCACTGAACTTGACAGCCAGCATCTGGGAGATGACGTAGAGGTTGGACACCAGGGCACTCTGCAGGATAATGGGGATGTTGGAGGTGTAGAAGAGCTTGATGGGGTAGGAGGAGTACTGGCCCCTGTACCGAGCAGACTTGATGGGCAGGTCCACCCGGAAGCCCTGGAAGTAGATGACAATGGCGAACACTGCTATTGTAGCCAGCAGGTTCATGAGGTTGGGCAGGTTTCCACGGTAGAAGGCTTCGCGCAGGGCTCGCACCTTGTCCTGTCTGGTAGCCAGGAGGTGGAACAGGGCAATGATGGCTCCCTCAAACTCTGTGCCGCGGCCAGTGTTGACAGTGGCAGGACTGAAGGCTTTCCACACAATGGTCTCGCAGATGTTGGTGGCAATGAAGAGGGAGATACCCGACCCCAAACCATAGCCTTTCTGAAGCAGCTCGTCCAGTAGCAACACAATGAGGCCAGCCACAAAGAGCTGGATGATGATCAGCAGGCAGACTCCAGCTCCAATGTCACTAGGGTCACCGTACATGCCCGTCATGACATATACAATGGCCTGACCAATGGTGATCACCATGCCAAAGAGTTTCTGGGCTCCATTGAAGAGGGCTCTATCCTTGGGAGTGTCTCCAACCTCAATGATCTTGGCTCCAGCCAACAGCTGCATGATGAGGCCAGAGGTGACAATGGGTGAGATGCCCAGCTCCATCAGTGTGCCCCTGTTGGAAGCCAGGATGACCCTCATCCAGTAGAAAGGGTCTGCTGAGTCTGAGGACATAATGCCAAACAGAGGGATCTGCCACATACAACCTCAGTTAAATATATAAATAGAAATTAGTTACCCTTATACAGAGAATTCCACAATTCTATTAAATATATTCAGAGGGTAAAGGGCCTAAGAAATAATCAATGATGTTTCAGTAATAGCATTGCTACAATCTAGGGTATTTAGTGAGAAAACTTTCATTGACACATTTATAACTCTAAGCCATACAATATTATTTTCACCAAGTACTCTAGCTTGATGATCTAGCAAGGCTGGTACAGTAATGTTGTAGATTTGGTCTTGTGACCCTCCCAAATTTATTAATAAATCTAAATTGTGGGGAAACCGGTACACAGAATATTCCAGTGAAAAGTATAAAAGTGAGCGTGCAATGTACAAAATTTGTAAGTACTTCACGTCTTAAAGCTCTATATCTCAATTTTTATCTTCTCATAACTTTTCTGGTATATTGTTTGTTCTCAATCAGCCCATACAAGTAGGCTCACTTTTCTCAACTAGCCCCTGGCATCCATGCACAATCAAAATACTAAGAAAATTGTTCTCACAAATGCTTTTAATATATGGCTGAAAAAGGAGTATATGCAGAAAAGGTTTGAAATATTTATTTTTAAGGTTAGGCATGTGCGTACTGACACTTCAAACTACAAACGAGTTCAGCAAAATATATATACCTTCTTTCAAAATTAGAAATAAGGAGCAGATTCTCTGATTGCGATACACAAGTGGGATAGTGAAATGATGTGGCCCAATATTTGCACCAATAAAGTGACTTATTGACCTCAATTAACTAGCATGGCATCAGTTTTTAAATTAAAAACAAGATTTTAGAAATGATAAGGTACAATTTGAATAATAAATTATAAACATGAGGTAACAAGACCAAATATTTAAAAAAAAGTTCATATTTCAGTAACAGCATTGCTACTATCTTAAATAGTGTTGGTACTATTATCACTTAGTTTACTAATAACTATTATAATACTTTATTATTAATAATAAATTATTAGCAGTTCCAACAATTTAAAAACATGCTGCAATATTTTTCTCTTTCAGTTTTTTTTTTTCTTTGAAAATGGCGACAACGCTGTAACTGAAATGTCATATGTAATTCACTTTTTAGAATTGGTCTTGTTACCTTAAGATTGTTGTCACAATGACTAGGTGAAGAGAGTTGCTCTGAAAGTTTACTCACCTGGCAGCATACTAAAAAGATAAAGAGGGTGATAGCAGTCCATAGCACTTTCTCCCTAAACTGGATCTGTTCACAAACACACTGGATTAAAACTGGGTCATACAGGCAGCAACATGGAAGTATAGATTGGCCTTCATCATGTTGGGGAGACATACATCTTAACAACCTCAAATCAATCAATACCTTTATTGAAAACATATTTATCTGAGAGATTCAGCAATAAACAACCTCAAATCAATCAATACCTTTATTGAAAACATTTATCTGAGAGATTCAGCAATAAACAACCTCAAATCAATCAATACCTTTATTGAAAACTTTAGTATCAAACATATTTATCTGAGAGATTCAGCAATAAACAACCTCAATATAAAACCACACCATCTATGAACAACTGCGTCTTACAAATTATAGCAGGAATTATTTACAGTACACGAACCACACAATTGTCATTTTACAAGGATCAAAAGTAAAGACACCATAGTCTTGTTCTTCGCTAACATTAACCCTTTTGAAAATTGACCATCTCTCATTACAACAACATACATTAGCAACCTACCCAAACTGTTATGTGCCCACCTTTGAGAAACAAAGATCTAAACTAACGCAACTTCCAGGAGAAACTAGTCCTGTTTTTAGGCAGGAAATTATATTTTTCCCAGACAACTTTATCAAATGGACCACCCACCATCTCAGCCCTCCATCTAAAAGAAGACCCACCACCTAGAATATTTTGTAGCATCAAGTTGAGGAATCTTGATTCTAACAATTTTGTTTGTTTTTTGTTGTATTGAACTTTCTACAAACACCTAGGTTGAGAAGGAATTTATGATAAAGGAATTTAAATTTTCTCATTGTTAAAAAAAAGGTCTGTAGAAGTTTTTAAAATTTTAAATACTGTAGGTGCACATGATTAAAGTACATTAACCCATAAGTACTCGCAGGGTCTGATAAACCCCAGACACACTTATTTCCTTGAATATCGAGAATTCTATAAAACAATGAGATAAAAACTTTAGTGGCTTAATTTTACGACAATGAATATGCAAACATATATTAACTTAATTTTGTTTCCCTATAATTGACAATAAAATGGAGATGGGGTCTATTGGAGCCCGCGTGAAAAATGAGAGAGACATAACTTTATAATTTTCAAGCATGGGGAAATAGGTAGGTTGCCTTCAGCAACACTTAATATCCTTTATCTATGACTTTTACTTAGTTTTGAAGGAAAAATGAAGAAAAACTAAATAGGCTTTAGAGACAGAATGACATCCACAAGAGAATAAGAATTGAACCACATCCTTGATGAGAGGGAAAAATTCTCCTCATTTAAGAACAATGAGAAGTTTGGGTATGAAAGACAGCTAGAGGAGAGAACATTTCAATTAGGTTCAAATAAATTAAGTTGGGGGAATATAGCTTGTCTGCATCTTGTTTATATCATGTGATCACCATCTCCTCTGGGGGGGAGAAGTCCGACACACCTCCCTGCGGTCCCCCCTGGACCCTTGGAATATTCGACCAAATTCTGGTTCGTTTCCAAGGTGACTAACGTGGCAACGGCACCCATTTTCCAATGAAGAGCAAAACTGATATCTTTAACCCAGAGCAGCAGCTTTACACACCCAAGATAGTGAACATTGCTGCTGTGTGATAGAGATGTATTGAGACATCTGAGGCTCTTCAGTGAACACGACAACAACAACCATCTCCTCTAAGAGTAATGGAGGGTTTTGACAAAAACCATGTGGCCTCAATCCCAATGAATGGACAACCCAGAGTACACTCTGGCAGGCAACATTCTAATGGGATGGTTAACACAAAAGGAAACCGAATGAAAGCCGAGCTAAGCTTCATGAAGTAGGAAACTCTTGTCCATGAGGAGAACCTACTGAATGTTTCATGATTACTTTTAAGTAATGGATAAAATTGCATTGAACAAAGGAAAAATTACAAATATTATTTTAATATAAGTGAATAAATGCAATGGTAAGAAAAGTGAATAAATTTTGAAAATAAAGAAAAGGCTCTAAGACACTTATTGTTTACATCGGTGATAGTGGCCGCTAAAGTTAGGCCTAAATTGTCCATCGTTGGCGCCGTTTTTGTGACACATTTTACGACTTTTAAGCATGGTGGGCATACATTATGGCCACTGTGCCAAAGTATTGTATTTTCAGCAATAAATTTGTATTTAGACAAGAATGATCTAGTTCTTTAAAATAAAAGACACTTCAGCCAGTTAGTTTTTTTTTTTTAACCCCTTGCCAAATGCTTTATTTTTATTTATTTCTCCTGACAAAAGATTTTTGGCGAAACATGGAGAAAAAAATAAAAAAACTCTAACTGGCCGGTGTATATTAAAGAACTATGAATGCCGGCCAGGCAGCCTCTATCTTCAAGAATGATCTAATATTTGATCAAAATTTGATTTTAAAAATTAGTCGAATTATTGATAGTATCAATTATCGTTTGGTCGAATTAACGCTCATTATTTGATAGACTGCAGCAGGATGGGACATGAAATGAGGTGGAATTATCGCAAGTGTCAAATTAATGTGGTTATACATATGCTTGATTTTTTAAAAACCTTTATAGTTTACTTTTTATTGAATTTTTGGACTAACTACGTGGAGATAGGGGCTGCCTGGCCGGCATTCATATTTCTTGAAAAAAGATACTTCGGCCAGTATAAATCTTTTTTCAAGAAATAACTACACCTTGGACTTGATTTTTCGGTAGGCTAAGGTGTTGAATTTTGAATAATTGCCTAGAATTGTGAGATGGCGGGAGTTTCTTTTATGAGATGTACATGGGCTTTCAAACCTAATGTTTCTTTGACTGGTGTAAATGGCAAATAATGTCATAATAAAAGATCCATTCACATATTTTTGCCACTAGCTGTTAGTTTCCTTCTAAAATAAACTTCTTGCCTTCGTACTTTTCATCTCATAACATTGATTAATTTTAAAAATTAGGTTTGATCAAGTTTAGTTGGTTTGGATGGGTACTTTATCAAATTGTGTGGCATCACTCTATATTTACTTTGAAAGAAAAAAAGTTTGTGAGAGAGAGAACCCTGAATATAAAATTAGCTCCAATTTGAAAAGGGGAAGAAAATCAAAACAACAAAACAAATAACTACTATAAACACAAGGTAATAAGACCAAATCCAAATAAATAAATAGTGTGTGACATTTCGGTAACAGCGTTGTTACCATCTTCAGACAAAAGTATTGAATGAGAAATTTTACCACACCACAAATTTCTCATTCAATACTTTTGTCTGAAGATGGTAACAACACTGTTACCGAAACGTCACAAACTATTTATTTGGTGTTATTACCTTGTGTTTATAAAACACACTGTGTTGGTAGCAAACACAGTTTTGAAACATTAGCACAAATTGGGACGTTCTCTCTGAAAGAGCCATCTATAAAACAATACAAGGTTGCCCACTTGCTTCAAGTTATTTTAGGTTAGATTGACTATCAGCTAAGTTGGAATTTCAGTAGAATTTCCTTTAATGAATGATACTGCTTCCTGTAGTGA